ATTATCAATAGCATTTAACATTTTATCATTCACAAGCAACTAGCTAGTGGACACCATGGAGCATTTAACTGCTAAAGAGCCAGATACTCCACTCAGAATAGAGTTAAAAGGAGTTGCATTCATGGCCAGAAACATGACTCCAAAGTATTGCTAACTGTTTGTTAACATGCTCGCCTTAAGAACTTTAAGGAGAGTATGTCAATGCTGTGTTTACAATTTCTTTCACTGCCTTCAAGTGGCAAAAAATAAATAAATATATGCAGGTTTAAATCCCCTAATTCAACTGATTTGAGATTAATGAAACAAACGCACAGCGTACCCTTACTATTGTACAGTTTACAGCCCGTGATCATTGCATACAGAGTAGCAAAGGAGACGAGACGTCCTTCTCTGACCACACCGCTCTCTAAATGCTGTTTAGGAGAGAGATTGTATTCATCGCTTTCTGTGGGTGGAGCCCATTTCCTGCCGCTGCCCACACCCAACACCAGAATTTAATTTAGGCAAAGAAGGCAAATTTATGGCGTCTTACTGGCAGGGGGATGAGGGGACAATACACTAGTGTCTTTACTTTGGCTCTACTGTGTGACAATGTTAAAAAAAAAATGTGCAGCTAAAAAAGAAAAATTGTGACCTGCACCAGTTTTTTCAATTTTACTAACATTATTCTTTGCTGTGAACACACACAGCAGAGATTTATATTTTATATATTTTATATGTTATAAAGAAATCCTATTTCCAACTAACACAGCTGTCTTGTAATTGTTATCATTGATGGGGATGGCATGTTTACTGGCAGGAATTGACTTAATTAGATTTTTCCTGGTGAAATGTGTGTTATTAGGTTGTGTCAGCATAGTAGCAAGTCTTGTAAATATGTCAATTAGCATGCCGATTCAGATCAGAAGTATAATCACTTTTCCATTTCATCTTTAACAAGAGTGAAATAATCTGGAGCTAATCTGTAACAGGCAAATCCAATCACTGAAGCCATTATCTGTTGTGATTTGAAGCTCTGCCAGACTTTGATCGCCATGGCAGTAAAATTGATTAGCAGTGATCTACTGGTCTCTACTAAATGCTGATCTTGTGAAAATAGGTTCATGTCTTTGCTTTAAGCTGCAGTTTGTGGTTGAGCTGCAAGGTGCTCTCCTCTTCCTGCTCTCCTCTCCTCTGTCTGCACGGCTCAGTAACAAGGCAACACAGTAGCCGGTCACTGTTTCCGCCTGCTGCCTTCATCAAGCTAAGCTCAGTCTCTGACTGTTCAAGCGCGCTGGCTGCCTGGTCCTGTGCAGATTTACAGAATGAGACAGGAATCAGGGTCGGCTTCAAATATGAATTTGATTAAATGTGACTCACAGAAGACAAAACCACTTGAATTTGAAGGAGAAAGGGGTCAGGTGAGGATCTTAAAGTTCCCCTCTCTGCCCCACCTTCTCCACTATACTACCCACTCACCACAACTACTTCCCATGACACACACACACACACACACACACACACACACACACACACACACACACACACACACACACACACACACACACACACACATCTTTAACACACAGGGAGAGGAAGCAAAGTGGGAGCCACCTGATCTCTTCAATCATCCTGGTTGCAGTTGTGATTAATGTAAAGTGGTTCTTATTTACAACACAAATTGCCAGGGCAGACAAGGCCGGGAATAAAAAAATGTCTTCAATTTTCTGGTGTGTGTCCGACAGCAAGGGCAAACACCAAAAGAGCTTTAATGTGAATGACCTAATGTGGAGTCAAAAACATTATAAATGCATTGACTGCCTCCCTTTGAGCTCTTTTACCTTAAATGCTAATTCAGAGATTATTTAAAATGACAGTTTATTTAATGACAAGAGAGTCTCTTTTTTTTTGCTTTCACTTTAATGTGTAAAATTTAGAGGATTTTTAACCTTGAACAGTCCCTCCGTCCTCTAATCCTCAACCCTTATCTCCGCTCAGTATTTTGACTCTGTCAGTCAGATGAGTTCCACATAGTTGGGCGCTTTTTTATCAGCGGGAGGCTTGGCTGAACAAGTGGTAAGTGAACAATGAGAGAGCAGTATGAGGGGGTTTAGTGTTTTCAAAGCCTATCACTCGTCTTTGAGGAAATTAGTAGTTTTGAGTTAAAGTTCAATAGATACACTGAATGCTAACAAAGTGCCTTCATCTGCTGCTTAGCTGTCTGCTTATCAGTCCTATTTCAACTCTGCCTACTGTCGGTGAGTGTTAAGAGAGAGAGAGAGGAGTGCTTTAAGTGTGATTTATGTGTGTATTTTTGCAAGCGTCGGTGCATTTAAACTGTTGTGTTTAAGGTCAGGAGCAGTGAATGAATTAAGACATCCTTCATTTTTCCTTCCTTTTCATCTCTTCTTCAAAACTTGCATTAACCTATTCACCTCTGATATCCCCTAATGTTTCTCTTTCTTTTATTGAATCACCTTTCTCCCCACTGCTGCCCTCATCCGCCCACCTTTCTATGGTTTCTTCACTTCCTTCGACCCTTTCTCTACATCAGGGGCCAAAGGGTGCATCTTAGAGCTCCTGCAAAATCAATCATAGGTCGAATTTTTCAGTCTGCCTCAAAGGCAGCTACCAGGCGAGGCTGTGGTTATGTGTGTACGTGGTAATACATAGCTGACTGGATACAGGCCAAAGCACGCTGAGGACAAGCTTTCATCTCTTTATTTATTCCCACTGATACAATGAATTTGTTCACGCAGCCGATCGGGCTCGGCGTCATCGCTGTGCATGTATTCACAGCAGAAACATGAGATCTTTCAGTGTTAATAAATGGTTCCATACTGATGCCGCCGTGGCCGGCGTGAGGGTTCACAGGGGAGTTGACAGATTTAAACAGGTTGACAGAAAAACGATGCACAACAAGAGCGACTGAGCAAGTTTGTTTCTAGAAGTGTTCGGAGTTGTACAGTGCCTGGGAAAAAAAAAAAAAAAAATGAGCGCATCTTTTATTCATGTTCAGTTGTCGAGGTGTCAAGAGTTTTGTCAAGCCTCTCATTGTTCCGTTAACCTTGTCCCTGTGAAACGTTCTGTCTCTGTCTCTTTGGTTAAACATTACTGCCAGGCCACGGGAGGGGAGGGGAGGGGAGTGGGGGATGGAGAGAGGGAGGGAAGGATAGAGAGGAAGAGGTTCCCTTCATCCTTCCATCATTAAACAAACATGGCCTCTTACCAAAAAGAGGGCAAGAAGAAAGCAGAGCACAGGCAAGACAGAAAAGGCACAGAAAGAGAGAGAGAGATAGAGGAGGAGACTCAGGATGAAAATGATGAAGAAGGGAGATGGAAATGGAGGAGAGGGATGGTAAGGAGTAGGGGTTGTTTGGGGGGGTGGGGGGGGGGCAGAGTACCTTTGTGCAAAGCCGAAAGGTGTGCAGTCCATCATCTTCAGACAGGCAGACAGGGCTGTCTGGGGAGTTTATTTTTACCTCAATGTAAGAGGAGTGTGGATCGGCTACAGCAGGCTGGTAGCACCTTTCAGCGGGGGTTCTGGGACAGCTGCTGTCCTGGTGTGACCATCTTTCACGCCTGACAATACATAATCATCAACATGTATAAGACAAACACACACAGACACATGGAGCTCCAGGTCAAAGCTTCTGCTGCATCATGCTTCAACTTTAGTTTTCTGTGTCTGCATCACAGCTATATCGATGAATCAATTTGTCGATTAACATTGAATAGATCTGCAACTATTTTCATAATTAACTAATCTTGTAATTCATTTTGAAAGCATAAACACCAAATATGCATGAGTTCCAGCTACACACGTTTCATAATAAACTGTCTATCTGTTGTATCTTTTGGAGTTTTGGTCACCATCAGCTTTGAGAAATTATTTATTGGGAAAGATTTTGCTAACACACTGGATGTCCCATAATACCCCAGTACACCAACTTCTAATTAGGCATTTATTTTCTAGTATGGGTAAATACATACAGTGCATCTCAGGGATATAAATTAAATTAATTGCCTTCTTTGCTCAATCCATGGGAAACCTGTCATTATTCATAGCCCTTGTACAGTGACTCTCTGCTGTTACACTGGACTTCTCTCTAAATCTAGGGTGCCATTTGTGGAGTCAGTGTGATCTGCTATCGATCTCCTGTGGATCAGTGTTTATCTTGTAGTTATAGACCAGCAGATCATCAGCCCCCCTTCCTCTCTAAGTTGCTGTTAGAACCAGCACAGACACTCTGGGAGGAGAATTGATTAACAAATCAAGCCTGTAATTAATTCTCACTGCGATCAAAGCCATGGGAGGAAGTCTGTGGAGAGCCCGCGGCACGAGGGTGAGGTGTTTCACAGTGTAGTCCCACCAAGCATCACCACGCTGTTTGTTCTTCAAACAGGTGGGTTTTAGATGAAGCATAACATTGACTGAATTTCAGATGTCTTAAAAGGTTGCCCTGCCTGTTGTTTGGCATTCGGGAGACGATTAGTGTTCCTAAGCTGCTGTGCGTCTTTTCCCGTTTCTGGAGAGATTTGTAACAGACTGTGACGCCCTCACACATCACTGCACATCACTGCGTCCTGGAGCTGCTTGGCAATTTGTATCCATGCGTAGGTTCCTTCATCTTTTATTTTTAGGTAATCCTGGGAGAAACTCTCTTTTAAGAATGGATTTATCTTAAATATGGAGTAGGAAGTATGATTGTCTAAGGTTTTAAAGCAGTTGATTTCTGGCCCTGAAGTTGGACAGAGATGACCAGGAAACATTCATGAGAAAGTCTTCATACTCAAAAAAGTTCAAACTGGGGGCTACGTGAGGTGAATGTGGGAATTTCATGCTTAATTTTTGTCTGCTTGTAAAACCAAGACTGCTTACCATTGTAGATGGTTTCCTCCCCTTTTCTTATATTTTTTAATCTGTTTTTCACTAACAGAACATCTGCTGTTGACAGTCTGGATCTTAATGAATACACTAACCCACTTCCTCCCACTGTCTTCTTTATTTTTCTGTGCAGGTTAGCTCTGTATGTTTACGAGTACCTGCTGCATGTAGGAGCACAGAAGTCAGCACAGACCTTTCTCTCAGAGGTAAGTCATGCTGTATCTGTTTGTGTGTCAGAGGGAGCACAGGCCTTGTACTCTCTGTGTACAGTCAGAGGGGTGGTCTGACCCTCATGCAATATGTCCACTAAGTGTAGCAGCTAATTGAATTAGCCTGGCCTTACAGTGCTGAGCCAACAGGTTAGTAGCAGCAAACAGGGCTTCTTAACATTGCATTTAGTGGGAGTGGAGCAGGAGCACAGGGAGAGTTACAACACTCAGTCTGGAGCTGACGTCTGTCCATCTCCTTCAATAGCATTTTTGTCTTTTCTTCTTTATTCTTCTTCTTTCTCTCTTTGCGCTCTTTCCACTCTCTTCTTGATCTTTCTCTCCAATCCTCTCCTCTGAGATGCGGGCTTGTCTTCACTTTAATTCTGCAGAGGTAAAAAGGTGACGGGGTGAAAATGAGGTCAGTTGATTCTGCAGCCTCGCCTTAAATGACGATAAATTACAATGTAGAAGACAGTGGCTTGAGGCTTGTTGTACATCGGCCAGAGGAAGAGGAGAACAAAGAGAGGGGGGGATGGAAAAGGTTACATCATCAGCTGGCACCAATTCTCATCACTCTGACTTAGTGTGTCTTTGTGCACATGCGCACACACACACACACACACATACACCTCTCTGTCTCTCTGACACCCTTTCCTCTCTGCCACACTACTTGCTCTCTCTCTTCCGCAGATGTGAGAGATGAAAAGGATAGGCGGTGTCATGTTCAAGTGTGGGAACGCATTAGCTAAGAGTGCAACAAGTATAAACAGAGCCGCTTGTATACAATACACATTCACACATATGCACGCACACACGCACACAGGGTAAGCATTACACCGTAATGTAGCTCTTGCTGGAATAGTGGGGTGGAGCAAAAACATGGCTTTAAAGGCCTGTTATCCACTTTTTATCATCCACATCTGTTTACAGTGTATCCTCAGGCTCAGGAAGCGAGAGCCCAGAAAGACGAGTCACGAATCAGACCTGGAGACCTAAACGTAAATACCAAAAGACACAGACAAACAGCTCAGAAGAGCAGGCAACAAGAAACTGTCAAACTTAACTGATGGCTCAAACAGTAATAACAAAAATACACTTAAACCTTGACAGAATACACGAGGAGGCACAAGGACGACAAGGCAAAATAAAAAGGTAAAAATATATCCATGGGTAGAAAGAAAACGCTGTATTAAAGTAAAGCTAATAGTAAATCTCAGGCCTCTGTGTAATGAGAGCGACCCCCCACCCCCCACCCCCCCAGCAACACACAGCCTACATCTGCCAATAATCATGCTGAAGGGATCTCACTGTAGCATAGTGTAGGTAAATGAATGAACCTCCCAGCAGTGCAGACCACAAGAAGACAGGATATGCGGGCGCAGTCTGTTTTTTTTTTTTTTTTTTGACGCTTTCCAGATGAAGGGGGGATAAAAGAGCACGCTCAAAAGTGTCCTGACCTGAACTGTCTGCAATCGTGTTTGGACTGAGCTGCAGCCAATTAAATGTGAGAAACGATGGGATGTCATGCCCATTCCGCATCTTTTGTACCACTTGAGCAATGATGAGGGAGGAAAATCCATCTTTGTCACGGTGTGTATGAAAATTGCTGGCTGCCTATAATGTTAACTGATATGTCCTCACTAGAACTGTTAACTCAGAGTGAAAGCATGTGGGATAAACAAAAAGAGGCAGTTCCCCCCTACCAAAAAAAAAAAAGAAAAAAAAGAAAAAGAAACTTCAAAGCAAGACATTCCTTCTAAAAGTCACTGTGTCTGATCTGCAGCTGAGGTCAGGACAGTCTGATCGAAAGTGAAGTGATTCAGTTTTTCCTGTTATGTTAGCGCTTATTCACACTGCCAGTAGAGCAGGTGGTACAATAGTCTCGTTTCTTTTATACCCATATGAAACATTTCAGCGAGGGAAATTAAAAAGATGAACATGAGATCACTTGAAAACTCAGAGCGACAGAGATGATGTAAGTGTGTTTATAGAGAGGAGCGGCAGACTAAACAATACCATCATAGTCTGATAGTAGCAGTCAGACTGCTGCCCACAGCTGCTGGTCGGACTGTGACATCGTGTGCAAACATAAATCATCCCTACTGTGGGTGATGTCAGCACTCGTGTTAGCCACTGACCTTGACCAAGGTGTTAAGCCGTCAGAGCGCTTCAACCCAAGTGCTTGTCAGATGGTCGAACAGTGTCTGAACTCAGCAGTTACTGCTGCTGCACGTCCAGATGTTTCCCTTTTAATACTACAAGAGAAAAGACTTTTAGTATGACTAACTATGGTTTGGTCAGGGGTGTGAAATCCAATAAAGAGCAGGATAGAGGTGCTAGTGTAAACTCTTAAAACATCCAGGACAAAACTCTCACACACTGGATGTGTACTACTACACGCTGCAGTCCCACAAAATAATGTATAAATTGCTCCTATAGCCTTGGAAGTAACATTAAAGAAGATAAACACGCAACCTAATGTACTTGTATTTTTGGTTTTGGTTTTGTTTTGAAAGAGAGAGAAAGAAAGAAAGAAACCATCCGAACTCTTATATACAAAATATGATTGACTGCGGCAATGACTGGACAGGTGAAAAAGATAGAAAGAAAATTAAGAAATACTCTAATAATAACTTTAAAGGGGGAAAAAAAGCAACAAAATATAGGAATACAGGATTGAAATGAGTTATAAGGAAGAACAGAAAGTAGGAAAGAATGAATGAAACACATAATGTGGGTGAGCAGCAGAGCGAAGGGTGTGTGGGTTGTACAAAGGTTTGACTGGGCTCCTCAGGCTGGTACATGTCTCTGACCTCACACTCCGAACACCTTCCTGACTCAGTGAACACACACACACACACACACACACACACACACACACATATGCACTTGCACTGATACATTTTCACGTACTTGAATAGATGGGCTTTCAGGCACACACTTATCCACTTATATGAATCCATGGCATGAGAATCATAATATAATTACATAAAGGCATGTGTTATAGGAATTCCCTTGCAACCTCTTCAATCTTGTGAAGCAGGTAATTCAGATGTCGGGCATGTTTTAAAACTCAATATGTTTCTGAAGCTTCTCATTCTCTCTCGCTCTCTGTCTGTCTGTGTCTGTGTAGATCCGATGGGAGAAGAACATCACATTAGGAGAACCTCCGGGGTTCCTCCACTCATGGTGGTGGTGAGTGTCTTTGTGTTGTGTAATGATTCAGGTTACATGCTGTTTCTCATCTCTGACATTATTGAACAAAATGATGATCCTCACTCCTTCTCCTCCTGTTTTTATTTGTCATCATCTCATTAATTGTTCCCAACAGCTCTTTTTCAGTTTGCTGTTTACAAATTGTAACCCACTAAAACACCTAAAGTCATCTATTGCAATATTGATAATAGAATCACACTTATTGTCTTGATGCAGGATTACGCTGCCACTAAAATGGACTGTTAGTTTTATCTGTCAGGCTTCAGTGTTTCTCTTTTGTCATGATTCTCCTCTCTGACTGCCTTCTCTGTTTGTTGTAGTGTTTTCTGGGACCTGTACTGTGCAGCTCCAGAGAGAAGAGACACATGTGAACACTCCAGTGAGGCCAAGGCCTTTCATGACTATGTGAGTTTTCCCTGAAGTAGCTTTCCTTGCTCTTTCTGAAACTATGGCACTTCTCTGAAAGATTCAGTAACATATGGAAACCCAAAGTGTTCAATATTAGATTAGCGGATAAGAAATTATGAAATAAATAATAAACATATATAACACATATAACATATATAACCATGAAGCTGTCAACTGCATTTCATCTGCTTCTTTTCACAGTAAAAGATTGTGTCACGATATACCGGTATTGACGATAATCGTGATATTTTGTGATATTTAAAAAATGATATATTGATGTAGATGTATTTTTAATGATATTCATATGATAATATTGTGATGGCAAATGTTAGGCATTGTGGATCTTTTGTTAATCAGTTCAACTGGTTGCATTTCCATTAAGTGTAATTGTTCATTTTAAATGCTTTTGCAGTTATGCTGCAGTTATGGTTACAGGCTCACTCCACCTCTCTACACTCATATTTGTGTCTCATTCATTTGCCAAAAAAGAGACAAAATACAGTAAACAAACTTAAAGATGAATTTGACGGATAGCATTATTATTATTATTATTATTATTTCATGTTTTTTATAGATTTTGTGATATCGTCATCATGAATTCTTTTGGCCACAATAATTGTGTAGTGAAAATCTGATATTGTGACAGCCCTAAGTGCATTTCATTTTTGTGTTTTGCTCTGATGTGAATGCACAGACAGCCATATTACATAGTGTAACTCTGTTAGACGCTCAGACATAAAAACTATTTGATGACAAGTGCCAAGGACGAGTCATTGGGAAAATATCACTGTAAAATGTAAAAACACAGACTTTAGAAAAGGTACAGGTATAGTAAAAACTGTAGAAGGGCAAAAAATAATACCTCAAATAATCTGATAAACTAGAAAAAAGCAAGATGAAATAACATTTCACAATACTGAATTAAAAAATTATATAAAATCAATGAATTATATTTAATTTATAATAAATGATAAATTATAATTGATTATAATTATAATTATGTTTTACATTTTTCTGTATATATTCATACAATTTTTTATTTATTTAATATTGAGCGCTTTGGGTCTCCATAGTGTTAAGGTCAGCTGAGATCAAAGATGAAGAAACATGTACAAACTGGTGACTGTCTTCCAAAAAATACCACAATGACAGTAAGACCAGTTGTCATCAAAACAATGTGTAAATACAACACCTCGCTCCAGTGTCTGTCTACTTCCGACTTCCTTGTGGTTTGTTTGCATTATACAGTTTTGAAGAATTACCAGACGGTGCAAAGAGCAATATAAATGTCAACATTTACAGAGAGTGGCTTGCTGTTTCTCTTTTTGTCATTACAATAGTAAATAACAATGATTTCGAGATGACATCAAAAGAACATGTGCACAATTTTGGTGCGCAATTAGACCATAAAGTTGTGATTTAGGATTCACCGACCGTCAACACTTTCTCACATTTAACCCCAGAACGCGTTGGTTACGATACGGCTACAACTTGTCTTTTTTACATCCTTGCAAACTGGTTTAATCCTTTATCTGAAGTGGTGTTTAATTGAATGCTTGTTGTGACATTCAAGGTGTGTGATTAAGTGCCTGCTTCTTGTATTCGACCAGAGAACAGCAGCTCTAAAATGCTGCACGTGCGCACACACACATATCTGGCTAAAGTATTGTGAGCGCATTACACTGTAGAGCAGACTGGGCAAGCACACAGTCGCCTGTGTGGTAGAAACATGGTTTATTGTTGTGTTTTCTCAGTGTGCCTCCACTTTACTGCTGTAATTCCTGCACATCAAGGCATGGGTTGATTCAGTCATGCACCATCCAGTAACCGGTAACAGTGAGCTGTGCCAGAGCACATGAAGTTTTAGATTAACTGGTGACTAAGAGACAGGAAGTGCAGCTCTCCTCGCGGGAAGTGGTGAGGTGGAGTTGGGAAGGCGGGGTTGGGTGGGTGCGTGGGTGGGTGGTGTCATTGGGGCGGGGGGGGGGGGGGGGGGGGGTTCCTCTCTCTCCTGCTTTTTATGTTGTTGTTTTGCCTCTGTAGCCTGAAGTCTGACTCATCAGATTTGTCTGCACTGTGGTTTATTGAGATGTATTGTTGGAAGAGCACAGGTCAGGGGTTTCTGCCTACCCCAGCAGGATTGTCCGTCCTCTCTCTCCCTCCCTGCGTTTCTCTCCCTCTTTCCTTTCGGCTTGCAATCCTGCAGAACTGTTGGGACTCTCTTCTCTTTTATCCTCCTGCCGTAGGTGTGTATGTGTGTGTGTGTGTGTGTGTGTGTGTGTGTGTGTGTGGTGGTGTGTGTGTGTGTGTGTGTGTGTGTGTGTGTGTGTGTGTGTGTGTGTGTGTGTGTGTGCGTGTGCGCGCATACGCAGGTGATGCTGCTGATGCTGGCGATGATGATCAGGGTGATGAATAGGCACTCCGAGGACGAGGCAGTTATATGGGATGATGTCATCCTGGCTCTGAGGAAGGGAGCTGGAGGGCAGCACGACCTCAGACCTGAGAGGCAGACAGAATGGAGAGGAGAAAGGTGGAGAAAAAACAAGGAAGTGTGGAGACGGATAGAAAGAGAGAGGAGGTCAAAAAGAGGGGCAGACACTTCTGTCTGATTGATTTGTCTCAAACACGGCTCAAAGCCAAAAAATAAATAAAACGCATTCACATTCGTCATTAAATGTAATTGTTCTTAAGGTGACAACAACAGTATCTTCTGCCTTCTTATCTTATCAGAATCATTTCAATTCAGAAATCATTCGGAATATATTTTAACATCATTAGCGGAGGCCACCAGCAACGTCTTATTCTTACACTTCCTGCAGGGATGTAATCAGAGAATTATAATTAAACCAATTGTAATTAGACCAAGGTCACTTTCAATCAACTGTTGCAACGCTGCACTGCTTCGTAGATCCAATCAGAGGTACTACCCACATATCTGCCACTCAATTAAAACAAAATGAGGGGACAACTGCGGTGGACTTGGTTGGAAAAAGTAGCACGCCTTAATTTGAGGCTGGTGCCTCTCTTTCAGTCTCCTGACTTTGAGACTGATGGAGATTTTAATCAGACATTTTGATGGTAATTATTTTCAGATAGCTAATTACTGAGTGAAGTCCTAATTAATGCTGGGGAGACGTAGGAGCTCATTCACATCATTGTGTCCCTTTTCCCTTTGATAATTGATGGGACTGTGACAAGGCTTTTGACTCGATTTGAACGATTATCCCAGTTTAAACTACCTGCTGTAGACACAGTTGGCTTTTAGCTGGGTTTTTCTCTTAAGTTTGTTTACATGTGCAAGATGTTTTGCATGAGGTTGTGTACTGTATATGTCCATCATATCACTAGACCTGAGAATGTTCTTCAAGGACATTAATACAGTAATCTAATGTTAAGGGGGAAAGAAAAGATGATGAACAAAGCGAGATGCAATGTTATTGATTTCCAACCTCAGACGGGGCTTTTCAGGCATCAGAAAGGCCATTTACAGTTCTGTTAAGTGCTTTGTAAATTGTGTTCTCGATACTAAATGAGCAGTTTCCATTTGCGAAAGGCCATGAAGTCATAAAAACAAGTTATTTTTAAATTCTGATGCTTGACCCGGAAATGGCCTTATTAGAGATGAAAATCAGTTGCTGTTGTGTTTCTGTCTTTGAGGAATAAGATGTCAAACCATGCAGATCATTCCAGGCTTTTCCTGACAGCATATGCATTGATATGCATTATATGTGTTTATAATACAAATATATATTGCAAGGTCTCAAGCTAAGTAATAAATGGAGAGAAATATGGTTTTGAACTGATTTCTGCTGGAAAGTGGTAGTTTCTGTTCTGCCTGCAAACTTTTTGTCCCAACTAATTTCTTTGATGTTTTTACAAAATATGAGCAGATGAAAGGGGCGCGAGAAAGACTCAAGCAGCATGAAACTGCTTGTAAAACCTGTGGAAACAATATTGAGCATATTAACAGCATTTCCTCAACTACATAATGACATTTAGACCCTTTTAAAATGTTTGCTGCACTGAAAAATGGTCCATTTAATTGAAATACAAATGTCTCCATATAAATTGTGTTAAGTGCATTGGTGCGTGATGTTCAGAATTCCCTCAGTGAATTATTCTTGTAAGTTCTGAAAGAGACAATTTGTGTAGAGCCAGAAAGGCAGACTGGTGCCAGAAGGGCTGACGAGTTTGAAAAATTTGGGGAGTTTTGGAGAAGTGATGAAAAACAAAAAAAACTCCACAGAGAGCGTTACCTGACTCCTGATTTCTGGAGATTATCGGCGTCCGACAGTTGTACTGGTTGTGCTGTGCGGCCTCCAGATAAGAATGTGCTTTTTAACTGAAGCAAGTCCTTGCTTCTAGTCCTTTTTGTTTTTGTATTTCATTTTAAGTCGATATTGTGACTGAAAATATGCTGTGAACTGAAATGTTGTAGGTGGTTGTGAAAGTATTTTGCAATAGCCTGAACCGTTACCATTGTCACACTGTGATCAGGCTTTTAGCCCCATGTGTCTGTCTCATCACTGTGTGAATGTGTGATGGATTCTTAAAGAGGAAAGCCCAACTGCTAGTAAGTGGGCCAGAAGACGAATAGACGAGTATTAAAGGGACAGGGCACATATGCAGAAAAGGCCAGGCATGCAGCCTCACTGGGAGACAGTCAAGGATGGACATTCATTTTGAAAAACTTCAGGAATTCAGACAGACAGACAGACAGACAGACAGCTGGCGAACATTTCTACCAATAAATATCCCAAAAAATTCAAAGAATGTGTGTGGCTGCTGCGTAATGCAAAAAAACCCCCCAAAAAACCAAAACAAATTCACCTTACCTGTAGTTGACCCCTTACAAAGACACACTAACAATTATTTTCATTATAGGTTAATCAATTCATTAAATGTCAGAAAAAAGTGAAAGGTACGGTGGCCAAGAAAGCTCAATGCTCTGCACCTTGAATGCAGTGGATGTGTTTGTTTGTATGTGTTTTCTTCCA